GAATAAATTTATACATTTTCTTTTAATTTCCGAAACCGTTACAATCAATGAGAGCATAACGGATTCCCTTTACCACTTGGATATGTTACATATCATATAACATAAATCAAATATCACATATCACATCTCCAATGCATCGTAACACAGAACGGTCATGCATTGGGTATCCCATAACATTCCATGTACACCTGAATACAGAACAATCATGTATGGACTTCTCAACATATCTGATGGAGGCCGTATCCACGAATAAGGTTCATCCACATCACATGCCAACTTGGCCACACACGCACACAACCCTAATAACGGTTAAATGGGTTTCAAAGTCTTTTAATTATTATTATTATTATTATTTTATTCTCTTACTCTACTACACACACTTACAGACACACATACACCTAAAATTCTATTTATATACCTATTCACAACACATATTTACAGATAAGTACAATTTATTATTTTCCACAACAAACATATCAATATACGTATTAGGTACACAATCCCCCACCCGCACGGATAGAACTTACATTCACATAATAGCACACGCACACACATCAATACTTACACCAATATGCAGTAATAATTAAAGATATATGTAACCATATTATCTCATTAGGAATTAAAGGATAATCTCTATAAACATGATACTTATACATTCTTACATGTATACATATAATATAGTAGCACCCACACAATTAAATATATGTACACATGAATTTACGAAAAATATATTAGAAAACTTAAATACTTTATAATATCTATAAATAATTTATTAAAAGAAAAATAAATTTTTATAAAAATGACAATCCTGAATGAGATCAACTCAATTTCTTATCTACGTATAATCGAAAAAAAAAAAGTCAAAATTCTTACAAATTTGGATTTATGGTTCACTCTATGACCTAGTTACTACTCGAATATTTTCCTCAAAACAAGTGTGTTAAATGACAAACTCTTTCAAAAATAATTATAACACAAAAGTGAATCGATTTTTACCTTGGACTTGCGACCCATGTCGCTAGAGTCGCCATCTGCCACCACACGCACATCACCAGGGTCACCACGCACCACCACATGCCTAACACGTGCTGCCAAGCACCTCCACGTGCCGTCATGCCCCTCACGTGCCTAAACACGCGTCGTTGTCGGAACATCACGCGCCGCCGCCAGAACCGCTGCTCGCCGTAGCGAACTGATTCTAACTCACTGCAAAACATGTCGCCCATTCAGATCCGGCACGGGTCTAGTGAAATCATGCCGGAAGGAGCCAAAGATCCGCAAAATCGTGACCAACCGACGCGAAGCTCCTTCTCCGATCACACTACCACACCTTCTCTCTTTAGTCTTCTAGATTCGAGCCTCTCTGATGCGTCGTCCGCACAAATCTGGTCACCGCATATTGCACACAGCACACCAATCTCTCTCTCTCTCACAACATTTCTCCCCTTTTCTTTTTCAAATTTCTTCTTCACTTTTTGTAGGTGGCAGCGGATAGAATCTGCACATCTCTACCTCCCTCTCGATCGATTTCCATGTTGATCCCTTATTCTTCTTATTTTTCTTGTTTTTCATTTTTTTTCATTTTTTTTACAAGTGGGTATTAGAGGGAGTTTGAGTAGAGAGAGAGAGAGAGAGAGAGAGAGAGAGAAAGAGAGAGAGAGTGGCTGGAGGAGGAAGGCGTCGCGGAGGTGCTGAAGACCGAAGAAGAAGAAGAAGGGAACTGTCGTATGAGAGCTAAAAATCGGAAAAAAAAAAAAAAAAACAGAGAAAGAAGGAGAGGAGTAAGCCGTCGTTGGAGATTGGGAACCAGAAGAGGAAGAGAGAAGAAGAAAATCCAGAACCCAACGTCGTTTCAGGTCACAGTGACACCGACCCGCATACCAAGTCTAGAAGGCGAACCACACACCCCAATGCGGTGAGCCGAGGGGACCTTTCGAAAATCGAAAATAATTTCCGCCGGTAAGATTTTTTACCAAAATCCGTGACGTTAGGAACTTATCTTTTAGTTTTAATCTCGTTTTAGTTTTGACTAAATTCTTTGATGTATGTATGTGGTGATTTTAAGAGTCTAACACTAACGGAAGGAAAATTTCCTCTTCAGGCGCAAGGAACTCGATTAGGAACCAAATTCATGAGGATTGATCAATTTATGGAATCTGTCTGTTGGATTTTTTATCAACAATTTATGAAATGAAAATGTTAGTCGAATTATGTTCAGATCTACATTTATTTTATATATTTTCAACACTTTCAGCCTAAGAAAACAATAAGAATGGGTTCGCTTTCAATTTCTGAGACTTAATTATGATTTATTAAGTGTTTCTAACAATTTCTTCAAAAAAAAAAATTGCATAATTATCTCGGATTCTCTGCATGTGGTTTCAGTATGGATTAAATTTGTCTTTAAGTCATGCGTCCGCTTAAATATAGGTTTTCAAGAAAATTTTAAAATAAGAATTTTATGAGGAATATATGAGATTTAGATAGATTACTAAGAAATTAGTAAGTAAAATTTAAAGTAGTAAGAAGAAGTTTGAATAAAAAACTAAGATAGATTTAGAAGTGGGTCATGGGACAAATAAGTGGTGGAAAACTTTTAGAAAGATAAAAAAAAATAAAAAAAAAAAAGCGAGAATGCTTATAAAATATCAAAACTTCAGCTCATTTAATCGTATCAAGGAGATGAGTGTGTGTGTGTGTGTGTGCTTAGCTGAAACTCAGCAGGTTTTATAGTGAACATTATTTATGGAGAGATGATATAAAACCTGATTCAGACTTGGATAAGTATAAGTGTGATTTGTTTCGGATCACCTAGTAAATGCACTGTTATAACTAGATATTTATATGTGTGTCTGGCTGAAATTCAATGAGTTTCACAGTAAACACTGTTTATGCATAAATAATATAAAAGCTGATTCAGACGTTGATAAATATAAACGTGATTTGTTTCAGATCACTTAACAAATGCACTGTTTTAACAAACTTGATATTTGTGTGTGTGTGCCTATCTATATAGTGAGGAGATTTTTTTCGTCTCTCCTTGATAACGATATAAATGGTATTACATGATGAAAATCTTAAATAAGCTTTGAAAGATTAAGCATTTGAGAATATAAAGTTCAAATGATGTGAATGTGTGTGTATATGGATAAGATGGGTAAGAATTTTGCTTTGTAAAACGTATGAATATGAATCCGATAAGAATCCATATATGGATATATTCGTGTGTATATGTAAAATTTTGATAATTAAGACTTTAGATAGAAATGTGTTATAAATAAGAAGTAAGTTTTATAATAAATGTGGATAGAAAGAGAAGAAAGTGAGGAGATTAGTAACATATATATATATATATATATAAAAGGAATCATAATATAAATAAGGCTTAAGAAATAGCAAGGTAGATAGGTTTTAGAGTAGAGGGATTAAGATCTAAAAGAATTTCATTATGATGTTTGTTTGATATTTTTTTTAAAATTAAAAGTGCATTTTGTTTTATATACTTAGTGTAAATGTATATTTGTATATTTCTGGATTGATTTTTGCACTTTCTTATTACTGGATTTATACCTCCATCTCAAATCAGAAAAGAATAGAAACAGTTTCATGATCATAAAAGATACTAAAGAAAACCTTTTAATCATTGTTATTTAATTTTGTGACGTAAAGAAGAGTGGAATTAAGATATTCTTATAATTAATTTTTATAAAATAATAATTTATGCATTTTAATTATAATTACTCCGTTATAAGTAATATATATTAATATATATGAATTAGTTCTATTAGTTGAAAATAGTGTCTAAGCCTCCATACCTTCTAAAATGGTATTGGGCCATCACACATATCGTATTTATGTACATAATGTTTTTTATTTGTAGAACTTAAAATTTTTGTAGTTAAGCTAACTCAAATTTAGGGTTTTTTCCCCTAACAGAAAACACAAATTTAAGTTTTTGTCCATATATGCAAATGGGGCATATAATATTGTGATGTGATGCCAAATTGGTTAAACCAATTTGTGAATCTTAAAGCCTAAAATTTTTTCTTTTTTGGATGAGTAGAGTTTTCTGTTCTTTTAGGATATTTCTTATAATTCATTTTGTCACCAATATGCTTCCAAAATTTTTATAGAATTTTTAAAAAACTTAAGAGTATTTTTTTTTTTTTTTATACTTAATCATTGTTAGTATATATATTAGGTGAAATTCTTTCTAGTCATTTGAGATTGGATTCAGATTTTTGTTTCCTGGGTCTTTTAATATATTTGAGTCTAGTAAATACTTAGACATTAAAATATTTTTATTTGCAAAAGATAAATTGTAAAATTATAAAATAAATTAGAGTATGAATAACAAAAATAACATGAGCATGTATGATAGAAAATAAATTGCAATTTTTTAATGATGAAAAAATAGTAATAGTAAACAAAATTGTTGTTTTAGTCCACCCATTAAAATAATGAATTAAATAATTTGTAGATTCCACAACTAATGGGCTTTGACGTCTCGGTTTACACTAGAAAGTTTTGTGTGTTGCATTCTTTTTATTATGAAAATTTTATAAACATAAATATATGTATATATAATACAAATAGATTTGATGTATAATTAAATTATATCTTAAATTTTTATGATCAAAACGTGCTAATAATTAATGGATGATTAAACGACTCAGAATTCACGTAGAGCAGAATTATTAGCTAACCACAATCGCAATCATGATTACGCAGCACACCTACTTCCAAGTGGTCACCCTTCCAATTTAAATTTATATATTACAACGAACTTTCGCGGGAACCCAATGCCTCTGTAACATGAACCATCTCTTTCCTTCGTCAATTAGTTCTTTATTTATTAAATTCCCACTGTCTCATTTTCGTTTTTAGTGTCTTTTTTCATTTGGTGTTTCCCATGGAAGCCTCTTATCTGGTAATGGTAGGATATGTCTTTTCTATATATATATATATATGTATATACCTCCTCTGTTCTTGGAACTACCCGTTCGACATTGAAAGCTATTTTCTGCACTTTGACCCAAGCTGTGCTTCTTTCTCCCAGGAATAAACCTGTTTGTTTACCGGGAACTGTGATAAAAGGCGATTAGGTCTCAACTGTGAGAGTAAAGCTTCACATAATGGAAACAGTGAAAGGCATGACGGAGAAGAAAGGAACAAACGATGTCCTACTCCAGATTTCGATCCCCGAAGAAACCGATGGACAAAGTAAATCTTATTCCGCGTCAAATAATAATACCCAAGTTGGATCTTCCCCAAAAGGGAATGTCAATGACCAAACGCTTGAGCTTTTAAGCTCAACTTCTCCCGGCACACCAGCTATGACTCCAAGGACTCCAGGTAAGCCGCCCAAGATCCCAACTCAGCCCATATCACGACAAAATTCGCTTTCCTCCTCTTCAATGCCAAAGCCCAAATCAAGATTTTCTGAGCCAGTACAGGCAAAAAAGTCCAGCTCACCTGCTCCCGGTTCGCCGGTGAACAGGACTGATTCCGTTTCAAAAGATTCGACGGGTGAAGAGGAGGAGGAAGATGACGACGAGGTTTACAAGACTGCGGTTCTTGAGGTGAGTAAAAAGAAGACACGTAAGAGGCGGAGAGTGAGTGTGTTACTTGAATGGACTGTATTCTTAGGTCTGATTGGAATTTTGGTTGCGAGTTTAACTGTTGACAAATTGGAAAACACCTCCATCTGGAGTCTACCATTATGGAGATGGTGTATTTTACTGGAGGTGATAGTTTGTGGGCAATTGGTAACTGAGTGGTTTGTGAAAATTCTGGTTTTCTCCATTGAAAGAAACTTCATGCTTAGAAAGAAGGTTCTATATTTTGTTTATGGGGTGAAAAAGAGTTTCCGAGTTTTTCTTTGGTTTGGTCTTATTCTCTTAGCTTGGGGATTGCTGTTTAACCATGGAGTAGCCAGATCAAGGCGAACAAAACGTATTCTAAGTTATATTACAAGGGCTCTTGCTGCTTTCCTTATTGGGGCGGCTCTATGGCTGCTTAAATCTCTTTTGGTAAAGACACTGGCTGCTTCCTTTCACGTTACTAGATTCTTCGATCGGATTCAAGATTCGATTTTCCATCAATATGTTGTTCAGACTCTTTCAGGACCTCCATTGATGCAGATGGGACCACAACTTGGGAGAACAAATAGTCAATTAAGTTTCAGGAACGACAAGACAAAAAAACAGGAAATGGTTGATGTAGAAAAGCTCAACAAATCAAATCAACAAAAAATTTCTGCTTGGGATATGAAAGGCTTGGTTGATATCGTAAGTGGTTCAGGGCTGTATACTTTATCACACTCTCTGGACTCTGTTCATGCTGAGGAGGAAGACCAAAAGGACGAGAAAATTAACAGCGAGCGGGAAGCTAAGGCAGCTGCTTACCGGATTTTCAGAAATGTGGCTAAGCCTGACAGCAGGTGAGGATATCTAATTTCAACAGAAGTCTCCCTGCATTTGATAACTCTAGTATTTCTTTTTAATTGATTTTCTGTTTAATGAATTAGGTACATCGAAGAGGATGATCTTTTACTGTTCATGGAAAAGGAAAAAGTGGACCGTGTGTTTCAATTATTTGAAGGTGCAGAAGAATCTAAAAAGATAAAGAGAAAGGCTTTGAAGAATTGGCTGGTAAGCTCCACAACTAAATTGCTTTTATATTATAGTGTTTTGATGTATAATGAAATGAGATTTAACAACTTTCAATACTTTTTCGTCTGGGTACCATTTCCCTCCTGTACAACATTGAATGGCTGTTAGAATGTGTATATATTGCATATCTACATGTGTTCAACTCATTATTCAGGATAAATGTGTATTGTCTTGGATCCAAATAACAAACAAAAAATATTTCTTTAAAACATTTTTAGATCTTTTTGGAAGCTATGATGTCAAGCACTGTTGAAGGTTAAAACAACATTAGATTTTATAACTTGAAACCAATTTGACTTTCTTTAACGCAAATCATTTTAACTTAAATGTTTGCAGGTGAATGTTTATCTTGATCGCAAATCGTTGGCATTTTCTTTGAGTGATAGCAAAACAGCCATAGAGGAGCTAAACAGGCTTGGTATAGTGGTTGTGATTGTTGTGAGTATTATTGCAACGTTATTCCTAATGGGACTTTTGACAACTGGAGTCCTCCTTTTCATCTCCTCACAGCTTTTACTCATAGCATTCATGTTTGGCAACATGGCCAAAACTATGTTTGAGGCCATCATATTTGTATTTGTGATGCATCCATTTGACGTAGGTGATCGTTGTGTCATTGATGGAGTACAGGTGATTCCCTTAAGCCTGAAATGGCTTGTGAACTTTGATTCTATAGTTATCGTCAGCTTGACTAACGTCTGATATCTCACAGATGGTTGTTGAAGAGGTGAACATTCTGACAACGGTGTTTTTAAGATTCGACAATGAGAAAATATTCTATCCAAATGCAGTTCTAGCTACCAAACCGATCAGCAACTTTTACAGGAGTCCAGAAATGTGTGATGCTGTGGAGTTTTCTGTTCATATTTCCACCTCAATGGATCAAATTGGAGAGCTGAAAGATAGATTAAAATCGTATGTCATCTCTTATCAATCAATCTTTCTTCTACTAATGCAATTTCTCCATTATGCTTTGATGCTTTCTTAATGTGATGATCAAAGTTCCTGAACTTTGTGTATTCTAAATGCTAGGTGGTCATACAGTTCATCTACTTGCACTGTATACAGCAATGTACTTTCTATTTCCAAAACTATCATCTAATTATCTTCACTTTGCAACAACAGGTACATAGAAGGCAAACCTGAGTACTGGCGTCCTGGCCATCTTGTGATAGTTAAGGAGATTGAGAATGTGAATAAGATGAAAATGGCTGTCTTTTTTACTCATACCATAAACTTTCAGAATTATGGAGATAAGATTAGCAGGAGATCTGAGTTGGTCTTGCAACTAAAGAATATTTTTGAAGATCTCAATATTATGTATCAGCTTCTGCCCCAGAAAGTTGACCTCAGTTATGTCGGGCCACCATCTCCAGCATTTCCACCTCATTGATCGTATTCTTCTGACTGCAAGCTTCTTCTTCTCCTCACATCTTGCAAGTATGTTTAGTTCAATTGCACAACAAGCAATGTACTGCATTTTGAACTGTGTTTCTAATCATGAATGCAGTGAATTTCCCACTGATACTAATTTTCTGTAAGTGTGGACCAGAAGAAAAAGGAAAAAAAAAAAAGAAAGGAGACTTTTCGGCTATAGTGGTTATATAATTTTTTTACGAACTAAATGTCCATATCAGATTTCTAATGTTTAGTTCCACTGGATGTGCAGATAGACATAGGAGATAATAAGGAAATTTCAGTAGCTTGAGCTGGGAGTATAGTTTCAAATTTTAAATGATTCAAGATCAATTTCAAAAATAAGAAGAAGAAGAGGTAGCTTGATCACTTCTGGTTTGCTGGCCTCTCGATGAGCTGAGTTCAACTCAAGTTTTTTATTTTTTATTTTTTCTTTTTGAGTGAATGTGTTATCGTGAATCAGTTTGTTTTAGAGAATATGAAGTTTTTACTCAATTCTCCTGTTTTCTCATTTCATCATTGTTTTTTTTTTTGGTTTAAAAAATAAAGAAATGTTCCTAAACACTCTTAGATGGAATCTTAATTTTTGTGTTTCCTTTTAGAATCACAAACTGAAAATCCTGATAGCAACTTTTCTCTTCTTTTGCTCCCATGTTCCGTAACTCATTAGTTTGTTGAGTTGCAGTACAAGAGGGGTTTAACAAAAGTAATTCTAACAAACAAGTAATTGTAACTTATCAACAGTTGGCCCAAAATAAATGCCTCTTGAGCCCAATTGAGAGAATCAGAAGAATGAAGGAGGCCCTTCACCAAATTTCAAAACTGACGTTGATTGGACCATTGAGATAACCTTATCCACCAATTCTTAATGGAGAAGCTGCCACATAGGACAGCAGATATCTCAATTCCCCACCTCTCATCACCCCCATTTCTCTCCTCTCAAAAACACCCCAATCTCTAATACACAAGCACAATTTCATAGCATCCAAGCTTTTCCTTACTCAGAGAAACACAGAGAAGAGAGAACAAAAATGGCTTCAACCTCAGCTGTTTCTATGGCCATGCCTTCAACTCGTACAATCCAAAAGCGGTTGCCAAGCTCTGAAGCTTTCTTCAAGCCATTACCTGTCAAACCATCAAAAGCAGTAGTAGCCCACAAGCCCAACGCACGGCTGCAGATCAATGCCGGATCCTTCAAGGAGAAGTTTGCAACTGGATTGACAGCTGCTGCTCTCACTGCTTCCATGGTTATCCCAGAGGTTGCTGAGGCTGCAGGTCCCGGCGTCTCCCCATCTCTTAAGAACTTCTTGCTTAGCATTGTTGCAGGTGGTGTGGTGCTTGGTGCCATTGTCGGTGCCGTTATTGGTGTCGCCAATTTCGACCCTGTCAAGAGGAGTTGAAATGTAGAGGCTTATCTATTAATTCAATTCTGAGGGCTTTTTTCCTTTTTCTTTTATGTATCTCTTCTCTGTCTCAATCAACTCTATGTTGTGTGTGTAATCCGTGAAATCTTTTAGCTGTAATTTGGTCCAAAAATTGTCAATTCTCCATTCTTATTTATCATTTGTCATAACAGAGGAACACGTCCACCATTGGGACTCTTTTCAACAATAATGCCATTCTTCACATCTTACAAGAAAATGATGCAACAGCAATCACACTATGCCTAATACCAGTTTTACAGCAGTGCAAGATCAAAAACATGCATCATACTTGTTTCATTTCCTCTTGTTTAACGACTACAAGAAAAAAAATGACACCAATTCTTTCATATACAACTCGGTAATGGAGTATCATTACGCATAAAATATTAACACTTCAACTCTTCAATAAAGTCTTTATGCTCAACAAGAACCGAGTCACCTCATAAACCAAATACAAACATTATATGGACTAAATGGATTTTTTGTTTACAATAAGAATATATATGTATATCTTTACAAATAAATTTTACAATTTTTTTAAAATTCATTTATTTAAAACATAATCTGCATATCATCAAATGACTCATTTAGATTCCAATGCTTAGTAGTCCTTAAAAGCTACGGGAAAGAATATAGAAACCGGAAAAAAAAGAACTAAAAGAACAAAATCAAATGAAGAGGACGCCACTAACCCGTGGAACTACTAAGATGGGAAAAGGAAACTAATTCCGCCAAGAACCAAGAATTATAAGTCTCCTCAGCAGAACCAAACTAAGGGATCCAGATATCATTTACTTCAAGTTCACAGTCCTTATCTACGAGACCTTGTGATCAAATCAAGCAGGTACTTGCTCTCTGAAGAATAGTTCACTTTATCTGCCTTAATAACGGTAATCTTAACCTTCTGCTCGTCACCATACATTTCCTCTTTGATTTTAAGCCTAAACAAATACTGTTGAAAGAGTCTGCCTCGGATTATCTCTGCAAATCTGGTATCATCCTGTAATTCATATTTCAAGCTGTATAACTCCTTTGCTGAGCAACCCAATATCTCTTCACCAGATTCCTGAAAAGCTGTTACCCAAGTCAGTCCACTGTGGTCTTGAATTTGAGCCTGAAGAAGATATCTATACTCGCATTCAGCAAATTCTTGGTTGCACCTGTCACACTGCCATCTTGAGTCTCCTGATCGTGTCACCTTCTTATTGCACTGTCTATCTCCGATCATCAAAGGGCAAGCTGTGTAACAGAAAGTATCTGTTTTGATGAAAGTCACTGTTGCCCTCACTGTGACCCAGTCTGGTTTATCCGATCTTCCCAGACCTTCATCCTTGATCTGAGACACATTTTTCCGTATATCATTCTTCGATGCTCCGGGTATTATATCTCTAGAAATAGACATTGCAGCAGCATCCTTTCCCCCTCGATCAAACCAGTTTCTGAGGTTGACAGCTTCTGGAAAATCTGGATTTATAAAGAGCTGAGTAGAAGAGATAGTTCCTATGGATTTCCCACTGAAGTCACTGACTTTTCCAGCTTTGACTGCTAAAACTGGGAAAGACCCGGATCCAACTAAGTCTTGAAGCTTCTGACCTTCCTTATTACAGAAATCTCCCCAAAGGGTTAGCTCAACAGTCCTGCCAGACGCATCCTTCAGATTCAAAACTCTTCTCTGCGTTTCCATACCATTCTTTCTCAAGATAGGAACCGATGGATTCACTGATATCACAATGCCAATAACATCAAGTATGGAATTGTTCTTGGCATTTTCAATTTCACTGATAGGAAGGAAGGAGAATTGCTGTCTTGGTATGGAAGCATCTTCATCGGGACACAGCTCCACAGTTGAAGTTGACTCCATTAATATCTCCCATTCATTCTTCAAATGATTAAAGTTCTTTTGTGCAGGCTTTAATGAACCTTTTGAAATCATGTAGACCCTACCAACCTCAATCACATCATAGAAACGGTCAACAACAGCATTGAAGCAAGTAACTCGTATCTCCCCTCCATCAGAGTCTAGAAGGTCAAATGAGAAAACCTTCCCATCTCCCCGGGCATTGTTATAGCGACGAAGATCTCCTTTCGCAGTTACTCTAGCCCTAATGGCCCACCGGCCCTGATAAGGATTTAAAGCAGCAATAGGAATGATTCGTGCTGGTGCCTCATTTTTCACCATTGTGCCATGATTTTTATAATTTGGAGGGGGTCGATATGGAGGTTGGACAGTAGGTCGGAAAGTCTGCACACTGCTACCAGGATTTTGAACAGTAGAACTATTAATAGCTCTAGCAGGAGCGCTATTGTTACTAGGATTTTGGAAGTTTAAACCATTGTTACAAGTTCTTGCTGGCGCCAGTGGCTGCAAAATGCTAGAAGCAGACGTTGGTTTTTCAGCTGCTGCATCTGATTCACTCAACATCTTTGGATTCCCAACTATTTCACAATCTGGTATTATAGTTTCCATATTCAGCACAACAATAATTCTGCACAAGATAATGAAAGATGTACACCAGTATCAAGAAGCAACAAATTCTGCAAAATGTCATAATTTTCAAAAGAACAAAGCAATCATATAACAAATATTTACTAAGGGTCTCTGATTTGATATCTATTTAGAGGTTTAGCTATGGTACCCTGAAGTCGTCTTTCTGTACAATCAGCTGCATCCAGTGCTGTATGTTAATTACGTTTTAATAACGTATCATAGTTAGAACCTGTCCACATTTGTCTCCACCATTTTTTCTCTACTTCTAACTAAAATAAAGAAGCATTGCCTACGTTCAGATTACTATTTTCCTCTTAACATGCCTGAGGCCTTTGTCAAAGCAACAAGCCAAATCTACATTGGAATAGCATGTTAATGATTAACTACTGCTATGAAAAGACAAACCACGACAACATTGGTTATTAGGAATGTACCTTTGCTTTCTATTATTTATACTTGCACAGTTCTAACATGAACTTTTGCACCTCATATTTTAGAACATGCCTTTTTATGTTTTTGTTGTTTTATGGGACAGAAGGCAAATATTTGTTTTCTAACGGTGTTTTTTTGTTTTTATAGGAACGACTTCTTTTTTATATTTTTTATGTATAAGATCATCCTGGAAAAAATAGCATCCCTACAGCAAATTCAATTTCAATATTGAATCTCCAAACCACGTCTAGCAGGAGCTTAAAAATTGCACAATCACTTAAACACAGATGCAAGCAGAAGGACCTCTTAAAGAAATCAAAACTACACAATCACTAAGAAAACGTACTTGCGGCCGCGCGCATCGCTGCAAATGTAATCAATTAGCTGAACAATGGACCCCTTCTTGACCCGGCCGTCTCTGACTTGGTCGTTGAGCTGTGTCGCGAGTATCGCTTGCTGAGCCCATAGGGAGTCAGAGATGAGGAACCGGTACCTCTCCTGATCGGTGACGATCCGCTTGATATCTAAGACCTGAACCAGCGGCTTGGAATTAAGGTCGCCTCCATTGATGGCAGGGATCGCATTGGGAGTCAGATTCACAGCCATTGTCACCTCTAGGATATGAAAAAGGGATAAGAATAGGAAAGATTAACAGAAGGGAGGGTTCGCAACAGAGGCAGTAGCAGAAATGAGAAACCCTAGAATTGGAGATGAGAGGGAAAGAGGAAGAGGAGTTTGGAGGATTTGAATTCGTTTGTTGTTGAATGAATTTGTAGTGATGATACAGACAAGTAGGAAGTAATGAGGAATATAAAAGCTCTGCGTTCGGGGCGGGGATTTGAGGGTGCAGAGGGAATTAAATTTGAAGAAGCTGTGAGTTCTTTAAAAACCGGCGTTGAAGTTTTTGGGAACAAACAAACAGGTTTTTTTCCCTGGGTTAATCTGTCCCATATTCGGCCAATCAACTAAATGGAATAAAAAATTATTTTATCTGAAATTTTTATATTATACTAATTTTATTAATTTAAATTATCAAATTAATTCCTAGATTTTGAAATTTATTATAATTAAATTTCTGATTTTTTTAAATTTAATTTATTATATCTTCTAATTATTTTAAATGTTATATTCTATTTGTTAACCTAAAAATCTAAAATAATTAGGTTATATTTAGATATTTTAAAAATAATGTAAAAGAATAATATTAATTAATTAATTATAGTACTAACTTAATAAAAAGACATGGATGCAATAACTTGTTATTAATTTAATTAATGCCATTTTTTTAGCTATTTTTTAAAACATTCACATATAAACAAATTATTTTAGTTTTTTGCATTAAAAATATAAAAAAAAAAAGTTGGACATTTGAAACAAATAGAAAATACTAAGTACTAAATTATAATCAAGAAAGCATTAGAGAAGAAATTGTAACAAGTATCAAATTAATTATGGAGATTAATTTAGTAATTTGTTCATTTTATTAAAATAAAATAGAGATATTCTGAGGCAATTTACTAAGTTAGTCCCCAAATTTCAACACTTGTTACAATTTGGTGTCTAATAATTTTTCCTTACAATTTGGTCCTTCACGTTTTCTATTTGTTACCAAACCTACAGTTTCTTTTTTATTTTTTAACAGACAAAGGTAAGATGGTTAGATTATATTGTGTGCTTTAAAAAATATTTAAAGGCTAATTAATTAAATTCATAAAGATTATAGTAATAACAAAAATAAGAATAGAATTATTATTCATTAAATTAATTAATTAAGCTGAACTATATTTTAAATTATCGAAATATAACGTAGGTATTTAACTTTTTTCGTAAAAAAAAAATAAAAGAAAACTAAGCACTTGAAATAAATAGAAAAACATAAAGAATCAAATTGTAATGAAATAAGTATTATGGATCAAATTATAATAAGTATCAAATATTAGGTTTAATCTAGTAATTTATTCGAAAATATTTTGTTTTACAAATGATTGTATGTTATATATATATATATATATGATAATGTAATAAAAAATAAAAAAAGAAATAAGAGAAAAACACAAAAAGTAAACAAGAAGTCTTTCTTCAAATTCATCATCTCATTGAGGATTGATCACAATCTCTATTTTATGAGTACATGAGAAGAGAAGAAGTGTGGACATCTATAAATTAAGTAATCAACAAAGTTTATAGCTCTCCTTGGTTGCAAATTTTAAAACAAAAAGGATGTCTTGTTGAAAAACCTAGTGGGATAACATTTTGATCAAGAAAGAAAGAGTACTACTACATGCAACAAGTAGAGCCTTACCAAAAAGTATCATGTTACTTCTTTAAGCCCACGCATTCCAATATTACATACTAATTTCTTAAATGTAACAATAAGCAATGTTTTGATAAAATAAATGTAGTGGGATGCTATTTAAATGAATTTCATGAACTTCAATTTTATCACCCTTTGGTCATGCCTGAAAAAAGAATGTTGATCAAATATGTTTTATTTTATCATCTTTAATGTATCAATCTATTAATTGAGTTATTGCTATAGTATTATCCTCAATAATTATCGTTGTGCATTCTTTTTATAATATAAATTATATTTTTTTTGAACATGTTGAATCATTAATTTCAGTCATACATAAATAATATTTCTACATTTACTATTTATTTTTAAAAACTATCATGATATTACTATACTACCTTACATGACCAAATAGTTTGTTTGGGATCTAGTTATATGTCAATTAAATAAATATTATGTATTTGCATGATAAATTAATTGTTATTTTGGTCATTTTGAATAAAATAAGCTTATTTCTATCGTTATTCGAAAATATTTAAATATAAGTTTAATCTCATTTTAATGTCTTCTTATTTGGGGGAAAGATATTTCTAATAAATTTACAAAAAAAATGTTAAATAAGACCAAATATTATTAGCAAAATATATTGGTAATTTTATTGCACTAATATAATGTACTTTTAGCATGAAGTAGTTCTTCACTATCCTCATGAATTCAAAAATAATCTCTATGCAGATCGAGTGATTGAACAATAATATGAGTATTTCATGGAGTATTTTATTCATATAAAATCATTTTAAAATCTTTTCTATGTACACTCATGGATAAATATAAATTTCATTTGCTAAAAACGTTCAAATTATAAACTAATACTAAATTTTGTTTTTGTTCATATATTTTGCTTTGAATTCTCTTTTTAAATAATCAAATACTTTAGAAATCTCTTATGAAGTTCAATACTATGTCCAAGTAACCTTTTTCATTCTATGTTGTCTTTGTTGAAAATTTTTATGCTCAGTTTTTCATCATGATAAGTGGTATGTTAAACTATAATTCTTGATTCAGATAGTGTCTCTGTAATCTAGTCCTAAAATTATTCAATTTTTGCTATTTCAATCATTTTTCTCTTATGTTTTTGTCAAGAGGCTTAGAGATAGACCCTAATCGTAAGTAAGTTGTGTGTTTGATTGAGATCATAAGTAGGAATTTAGGGTTTTGATTGAGAGAATAAGAGGAAGATAAGAAAAAGTGGACTAAATAGAAAGATTAGAGAATGAGGAGAAGGATATTCACTAATGATTCAATGATTTCTCATTAGATGAGAATGAAAATACTACTAGCTGAGTTAGATACACCTAACATTCCCTCCTATTAAATCATTTACTGGTTCCATATGTAGAATTTATGGATAAATGCAAATAATGGCTACCC